CTGGTTTGTAGCAAGTCTCAGACCTGCACCGCCTCCCATTGGCTGGGGCAGCCCAAAGCCCACCTCCTATGCGTAGCTATTGGTTTGCTAGTGGCTCCTCTGAATTTGAAGTCCGTTCTCACATTACATGCAGAGGTGAAGGAGAATCTATCAATGCCCGTGGCATCCCAAAGCCAGCCTTCCACTGCATTGCCATTAGCTGATCTCGCTGCCTGTCGGGAGCCTGGAGCGCAGAATGGCTCCCTGCAGACTGCAGCCCAGAGGAGCCAGTAGTTGAGACCGATGAGCCAGGCCACTGGGGACTGCAGCTTTATCTGGGGGTGTGCACGGTCATGTCTCCCAAAATGGGTAGCTGAGAGAAAGGGTGCCCGATGGGTTCCCAGAGGTGGCGTTCTGTTCGTGGGAGTGGCTCAGGCACGCAGGACTGCTGGCCGGGTCCAAGATTCCTTAAGGAGGTGCCCCTGGCCTGCACCCTGTTCAAACAACTTTTTTAAAATATATTTTTTTTATTGATTTCAGAGAGGAAGGGGGAAATAGAAACATCAATGAGAATCATTGACTGGCTGCCTCTGCACACCCCTATTGGGGTTCGAGTCCACAACCTAGGCATGTGCCTTTGACCAGAATCGAACCCAGAACCCTTCAGTCTGCAGGCGGACGCTCTATTCAGTGAGCAAACCAGCCAGGGCTGTCTGAATACTTTTTTAAAAAATATATTTTATTGAGTTTTTACAGAGAGGAAAGGAGAGAGATAGAGAGTTAGAAACATCGATGAGAGAGAAACAGCGACCAGCTGCCTCCGGCACACTCCCCACTGGGGATGTGCCCGCAACCAAGGTACATGCCCCTGACCAGGATCGAACCTGGGACCTTTCAGTCCGCAGGCCGACGCTCTATCCACTGAGCCAAACCGGTTTCGGCCTGAATACTTTTTTACCAAGCTTGAAGTACTGGAACTCTCTCTCCTCTGTCCCTCCAGTTAGGGCAACCTGAACCTCAATTTGCTCAGCTGTAAAATGGGTAGGATTACAACCGCAGTCATTGAACACTTCAGATTTTGTATGTTTTCCAGACATGTTTCTAAGAATTTAAAATCAACAATAATAAAAGCCAACAGCCACTTTAGAATCTTTACAATTTCCAGATGGATATTTTCTAGGTGGATGTCAGAAAACCATAATCTGCTAGTTCAGGTTTTAATTTTTGTTTTAATACGTGGTGCACCTGATGGTTTTAATGTGATGACGATGATGATAAAAATTCAAATTCATTTAAGACCTTCATGACTTGTCAAGTACCTGTGAAGAAGTACCGGGCTGAAGTTGTGCCAGTTGGGATGGTTTTGGAGTGAGTCCTTGAGAAAGAAAGCATTGCCCTTGAGTGATCCATGACCCTCCTCACCCTCCATCCCTCCTGTCCGCACAGCCTGTGGCATTTTGCTCATCTTTTTGTAACAGAGCCAGAAATATGTCTTCAAACACTGTCTAGAAATTAAAGTTTTAAAACTAAAAAATACTGCCCAGCTGGCATGGCTCAGTGTTTGAGCATTGACCCATGAACCAGGAGGTCACGGTTCAATTCCCAGGTTGTGGGCTTGATCCCCTGTGTGGAAACATAATATGCTAACTAGACTGGACAGCCAAATGTCAAATGATCTTCTGGACGTCCTTCCAAATGACCTTCTGAGGGACCCCCTCCATGCACAAATTTCATGCATCGGGCCTCTAGTAAAAATATATTAAAAAATAAAATACACTGCACTGGCCCCAAAATTCTTCTTCCTTTTGGCGAGTATTTTGGAGCCCCTCACTGAGTTCCCACTGGAGTTTTTCCTGACCCAATGTAGTGGTATGGCTCCTGCACTGGGAGATTGGGTGGGGTCCAGGGATTCAACTTCAGAAAAGAGAATTTTTCAAAAACATTTCTCTAATCAATAATTTGTAAGAAGTCTAAATATTTAGAATTATGTTTAAAACCATCTTTTTTGCCATGCACTTTTAACATAAGGTATATTTTACATTCAATAAGATGTGCCCATTTTCACTATAGAGTCTGATGAATTTTGAACTGTCCAATCACCTCTGAAAGTTCCTTCATGCCCTTCTCAGTCATTCTCTCATAAGACAATCAGTCTGATTCCCTTCACTACAGATTAGTTTTGCCTGGTTTGGAGTTTCATACAAATGGAACAATACAGTATTTCTCTTTTGTGTCTGGCTCCTTGCACTTCACCTTATATCTATAGATGCATAGACACATGAAGCAGTTTGTTCCCTTTTGTTGCTCCGTAGTGAAAAACATGATGTAAATGGAGCCACTTTAAAAGGGAGGTCAGAGCTGCCATCCTGGAGGAGCTGCCCTCCATGTCTTATTCCTCAAACCTTTGGAATGTGTAAATTGGGCAAAATAACCTTCGGACTAGACCTAAAGCAGCATTGTATCTCAAACAACTGTTTGCAAAGATAACAAGAAAGAAGATATTAAGACTAATGGACTGAAAATTAAAAACATTCTTTACCCTAGCTAGTTTGGCTTGGTGGATAGAGCATTGACCTGTGGTCTGAAGGGTCCCGGGTTTGATTCTGGTCAAGGGTACTTACCTCAGTTGGGTGGTGAGGATTAAAAAATAATAGTAAAGAAATCCTTCCCTACTCTTATCCTATATAATAAAGAGGTAATATGCAAATTGACCCTCACACCCTCGCATCACCAGATGGCCACCCTATGTCATCACAAGATGGCCGCTCCTACGTTGTCACAAGATGGGGGTGACCAGGCCTGCAAGGGAGGGCAGTTGGGGGGGGGACCAGGCCTGCAGGGGAGGGCAGTTGGGGGTGATCGGGCCAGCAGGGGAGCAGTTAGGTGTCAATCATGCCCGCAGGGGAGTGGTTGTCAATCAGGCTGGCAGGGGAGTAGTTAGGGGGCTATCAGGCTAGCAGGCAGGCGAGTTGTTAGGAGCCAGCAGTCTCGGATTGTGAGAGGGATGTCTGACTGCGGGTTTAGGCCCGATCCCACAGGGGTCCCAGATTGGAGAGGGTGCAGCCTGGGCTGAGGGACATGCCCCCCCCCCAGTGCACAAATTTTGTGCACCAGGCCTCTACTGTCAATATATTACCTTATTTTAAAAAATTCTTTAGAATTAGCATCATACTGTTAGCTTATTTGCACTTATAAAAATGCCTTTTTTCTATTGAGGTACTTATCCCGCTTCCCTTTCTCATAAATACGCTTGCCTTACCTCCTAATCTGAACATTATTTTTGTTTCTGCTTGAATCACTACTTTCTAAATAGCTATTCTTTGGATCTCAAAAAACGCTTGTTGTCTCTCATTTTGATCTTTTAATTTTAGGTTAACAGTAGTATTCCATGATCCCATTGTTGCACCATTTGACACTCACAGTAGCAATCCATGTAAGCTCCAGTTGCTTTGCATTCTCATCATTATGTGCTATTTATTGTCAGTCTTTTTAATTTTAGCCGTTGAGTGGTGGAGACAGAATAGAAAAGGGGCCATGGGAAATGGAGGTGGTATGACAGCCCAGTAAGTAGAACTTTTGTCTCTCTCTCCTTACAGGTAGAGAAAGCACTTTACAAATACAAGTTGAACCATGTTGAGGCCCCCTCACCTAGTAACTTTTCTCTGATCCTTCCCACTTCAAAGAGGGATGCTGTGGCTCCAAACATGAGATTGTAGTCACTTCAATTACAAAAGGCTGTTGATGCTGCTGGGGAAAGAATTAAAATTTTGTGCCGACCCGGGGAATCCTCTCCACAGAGGTAGAAAGGAAAAATAGTTTTATTTGTTGTAAATGTTAAACCAGACTGAAATGGACATCCCAAGCAATTTGCTAAAGAGTTTGCAGAAGACAAAAAAAAAAACCCTCAGTTTTTACCGTTACATGTATGTTCTCAAGAAAGACAATAACTTGTCCTCAAGTAAGAGAATTTTACAGCACCATTTGCTACACCTAGTTCACCTCAAATTCACCTGGCAATTGGCATAGCCATCTGCCCTTATCCAAAGGAAAAATAAAACCCCAATCTTTGACAAGCAGCTAACCATCTGGAGCTAGCCGCCTAGATCTAATTCCTGAGACTGAGATAGGGACGCTATCTTCCCTGATGTTTACATTTCAAAGAGATGACTCCAAGGCCCTTACTAGTAAGAACAACATTCTTGGGTCATAAAACTGTCAGGAGGCCTATTTATCTTTTAAAGAGATTTACATACATCTCAAAGGGACAGAACAAATTTTACAAATTTCTGGTGTGTGTGTGTGTGTGTGTGTGTGTGTGTGTGTGTGTGTGTGTGTGTGTGTTTTAAGGAAGTGCTCTAAGAAAAGGGAGGGTGGAAAGTCTCTTTCACTTTTGACACCAGGTAAAAGTCATTTTTAAAGAAACTGTATTTACCCTTCAATTCCTCCACACATTTCGCTGCGCCTGTGCCCCATTCCATGCCCACACTCCCCCCACCCCTGCCCCCTTCTTCACCTGGCCACCTATGACCAGACTTTCAAAACCCTTATCAACTCCTTTCCTAACGGAAGCTTGTCAGAACAGCTAACCCCCGGCCCGACAACACTAGCGAACGCTCTTATCAAAAGCCATTACTCTCAGAATTGGAAAAGGTCGCAGATATTTGGTGTGTTTCGACCCGTTTCAAAGACGGTAAAACTGAGACCCAGGAAAATCCCAACTGGCTACTTAGGGTTCCAGGTCTCTGGAGCAAAAAGGGCACTTAAAGATTCAGGAAACTTAAAGTCATCTCCAAGTGACCGAAAACTTAGCCTGCTTTACTCTGCCTTGGCACATTTGGAGTTAAAGCCCGCGGCACGCAGGTTTCCTCCGGGTTGCGCCTGCGCAAATCAGGCCTTGCGAATTTGCCCCCGACCCTGACGTTTCAAGCGGCCCCTCCTAATCCGGAACACGATCCACATTCCGCCGGTCCTGCCTTGACAGACGTGACGCTTATCCAATAAGAATAGAGGACTAAGTTCTGCGGCGCCAATGGCGACAGCCCGAGGGGCGGTGGAGGCGGACTTTACGAGGAAACAAGAAGACAGGCTCAAGATGGAGGCGGCGGCGGCCGCTGCGGCCTGACAGGTGAGGGCGGGCCCGGCAGGGTTAGGTTTCTGGAGCGATCGCCGGGCTTGGACAGAGAGCCGGGACCGAAAGCTTAGCTCCAGGGTCACTGCGCCTGGGCCCCGGCACCCCCCACCTGGAACCGGAGGAGTGGTTTGACCCGGGGCGAGACCATCGTCGATAGCCGGGGGTAGGGGTGGGTGGACAGGAGTCCGGGGGGCCAGGCTGCGGGGGGTGGTTTCGCCCGCTGAGGGTGGTAGCACGCCTGCGCAGAGTGGAAGGCCCTCGGTGGGCGGGGCCGTGCGAATGGGTCTTGGGCTGTGGTGTGTTGTACCGGGATCCCCGCTAAACCTCCTTAAGGTATCTGATGACCCTTCCTTACCAACAACGGACAGTGAGTGGAGACGGGGCTCACTACTCGCTTTATTATCCTGGATCAGTGTCTCACCCACCAGGAGAATGTTTGAGGATTCTCCCTTTACGCCTCCTTAACCCACCGTAGCTTCTTCCATTGTCACCAGAAATACTAGTATGTCTGTGACCCGTTCATTCGTTGACAGGGGTCCTTTGGTTTTTGTTTGTTTGTTTTATATTTTTATTGATTTTTAGAGAGGGAGAGAGACATTGAAACATGAATGATGAGAGAATCATGGATCAGCTGCCTCCAGCACGCCCCCTACTGGGGATCGAGCCCGAAACCAGGGCATGTGCCCCGACTGGAATTGAACCCAGGACCCTACAGTCCAGGCCGATGCTCTGTCCAGTGAGCCACACCAGCCAGGGCTGACAGGGATCCTTTTGGAGCCTCCCTGCTGGACCCGCATTCACCTGACCTCAGCAATGACTGGTGATGCACCATTACCCACCTGACAATGTCTGCTGATGACCACTGTCCACTCTTCTGCCCATTAGAGTCTCTAGTGACCTTTGCTAACATCTCCTTCAGCATAGTGTCTTCTGATCCTCTGTGAACTTCCTGTCACAGTCTGGTGACTCTCTTTAGCCACCTAACAGTGTCTGGGAGCCTACCATCATTACTGCCCAGGGCTTAGGGATGGCCACAGGACCCTTAAGAACATTCTGGTGCAATTCCCATTTTTCCCCAAAGTAAGGGCAACATCTGATGATCTCCCATTTGTTCCCCTTCACCCTGTGTGTGACTTTTCCTTCAGCACAGGATCTGGTAACCCCCTTCTCCATTAAAAAGGACAGCCCCCCCCCCCCCCAAAAAGGACAGCCCAGCTGGTGTGGTTCAGTGATTGAACTTTGACCTATGAACCAGGAGGTCACGGTTCGATTCCCATCAGGGCACATGCCCAGGTTGTGAGCTTGATCTGCAGTAGGGGGCGTGTAGGAGGCAGCCGATCATGATTCTCTCTCGTTATTGATGTGTCTATCCTGCTCTCCCTCTCCCCTCCTCTCTGAAGCCAATAAAAAAAATATTTTTATAAAAGGCAAGACAGCCTGTTCGTGCCCATTATGTATCTGGCACACCCCAGTGCAGTGCATGCTGACTTCTCCATTAGTCCCCAGCAGACTTTGTACTCCTGTGCCCTCCAGGACAGTGTGTGCTGTCTCTCATTGTGTTATCACACTCCCACCTGGCCCCATGCAGAGACCTTGGCAGAGCTGAGCAGAGGAGGAACTGGATCGACTTCAAGGTGTTACTAAGTTCCCTTGGACAGCTTTGTGGAAATGAGGCTGCTGGGGGTGATGTGGAGCCTGCAGATTGACATTTTTTGTCTCCTGCCACTGCGATTCCAGACTATCATTATTGGACCACTGACTTCCCTCTCTGTCTTCTAGGAGCCCCATGGCACCTGCCCAGCCCCACCTCAGCCCATCTTGACAAAGTCCTAGGCTCCATGGAGCCACCACGGGGCCCCCCTGCCAACGGGGCCGAGCCGTCCCGGGCAGTGGGCACCGTCAAAGTGTACCTGCCCAACAAGCAACGCACAGTGGTGAGTCTGATGGGAGCAAAACTGGCAGGGGTGCAGATGGACCCAGTTGTAAATCTTGGATCAGAAGGGTAGCTAGGGATGGATGGAAGATTTCGCCAAGGTAGGAGAGTT